CCTTTCATTTTAATTTCCTTTTTGCCCGAAAGACTGAATTTTAAAGTTTAAGATTATGCTTTAGAAACCTCCAGAAGTGCACCCCACAAAGACACTCTTGTTTGTGGCACCTAATATGTTTCCCAAGCAACGGTTTTTATTCATCAACCTCTTCACCAGGTGGTAGGATTAACAAGGCTTTCAAGTAACAAGAAGAACAGACCTTTCTCTCCATTGTGAGGATGTTATTAAAGGGAATTTTCCAATGACGCAACAGTGACTGTTACTATTTGTTTTACTTTACGCAAGTTGTCCCAAGAGGCACCTAACTAGGGATTTGGGGAAGTTTACATGCCTGGTTACAAACTTTGTACTAAGCCGTCTGCTCGCAGACCTGTCTCCAACCCCCTGGCAGGCCCACCATCCTTCCTCAATTCCCAGGCACCGTGGAGCTCTCTGAATTCCATTTATGCCCACAATCCAAAGGCGGAACACTTACAATCAGCAATACAGAGCCAACATGCAGATCTAAAAATCAGGCCAGACTGTTGGTGGCTGTTGAGTCAGCTCTGACTCATGGAGACCCCAGGTATAACAGAACAAAACATTGCCCGGTCCTGCGCCATCCTCACAATCACTGGTATGTTTGAGCCCATTGTTGTAGCCACTATGTGAATCCATCTCTTTGAGGGTTTCCCTCATTTTCATTGACCCTCTACTTTACCAAGCATGTTGTCCCTTTTTTAGTGATCAGTCTTTCCTGACGACATGTCCAAAGTAAGTGAGACAGTCTCACCATGCTGCCTTCTAAGGAGCATTCTGTCTGTACTTCCTTGAAGACATATTTGTTTGTTCTTCCGGCAGTCTATGATATATTCAATGTTCTTCGCCAACACCACAGTTCAAACGCGTCAATTCTTCTCTAGTCTTCCTTTTTCACTGTCCAGCTTTCACATGTATACGAGGCAACTGAAAAGATCATGGCTTGGGTCAGGCGCACCTCAGTTCTCAGAGTGACATCTTTGCTTTCTAACACTTTAAAGAGGTTTTTTGCAGTAGATTTGCCCAGTGCAATATGTCATTTCATTTCTTGACTGCTGCTTCCATGGGTATTGATCACTGATCCAAGTAGAATGAAATCATTTACAATTTCAGCTTCTTTGCCATTTATCACGATGCTGTTTATTGGTTCAGTTGTGAAGAGGCTAAGTAGATCCACAGAACTAGCCCAAAGTGGTGAATTAAAGAGAAGGCTTTGAGCTCCCACCTCTGGGAGGATGAGGATGCTGGCATAAGACTTGAGAAGCAGCAATTGGAGAAAAGGTCAAGGATGACAGCATTTGGGGCCATCGTCACTAGAGGACATGGGCTGGCAGGCCATGCCTCATTCCCTGAACTCCTCATGGGCTGGGCTTGAGAGCAGACACCCAACACGACATGTCTCATGGCTGAACCTCTTAGGGAAACTTCCCCATTCCTCCACAGTCCCCACAGCGGCGGATTATCCAATAGGCCAGGTAAGCACAGGGCTCACCTTGCTCACCAGATCATCTGTAGTGAACAGTTTCACATTTTTTCACCACATCAGAGATTCTGCTTCTAGGTCTGGCTGGCTTCAGTCTCTCTCCCAACCCCACAGCACCTTCCTACAGAATCAAAGCCTCTTTTCAAATTTACAATCTCTGACAAGGACGGAGCACCCAAAAAGCAAGGTACGCAGGGGCTGACTTATGCTTACTTACAGAGATGTGAAATTGTTCACTGAGGATGAGTAAGTAAGCACAAGTCAGCCCGTGGGTACCCTGCTTATTGGTACGCCACCCCTACATGTAGGGTAGCCCTGGGAACTACCTATCATAGTGTCTGGGATCTTGGGCTTTGGACAGAGATGGAGCAGTTATGGATCCTGGCTCTGTCAGTTTCTAGCTATATGACCTTGGGCAAGTGCCTGAACCTTGCCACTGCTCTCAGGGCCAGCCAAGTGGACAGAGAGCATGGGGCAAGGTGGAGAGCAAAGTATGTACTGGGATGAACTGAGGTGTTCAACCAGGGTTCCCAAAACAGAAAACTGAACCAGTTGTCATTAAGTCAATTCCAACTCAGGGCAACCCCGTGTGTGTCAGAGTAGAACTGTACTCCATAGGGTTTTCATGGCTGTGACCTTTCAAAAGCAGATTGCCAGGCCTTTATTTCAAGGCACCTCTGGGTGGGTTGAAACGGCCAACCTTCCTGTTACTACCTAGCACTTAACTGTTTACACCACCCAGGGCTCCATCAACTCGGGTTAGAGGCCTGGACTGCTGCTGCCCCAACACATGACCTGGGGTTGACCAGGTCCCCTTGCTGAGCCTCAGTTTCTTCATCTACACAGTTCAGGGTGGGAAGGGTGGTGGGGGCCCTGAAAGGGTGAGTGGAGGAAGATATGGAACAAGGCTGCAGGCTAGTCCTTCCCCACTAATCATCCCCAGCAGCGTAGAAGCTCTGAGTGTTGAGGTCTTGTGACCTTCACTGAGTCACATCGCCCCATGGGTCTGCGTCTTCATCTGTAAACGGGAAGAGCTCTAATCCCCGTCCAGCATGCGGAATCCTTGAACTGAGGGCTAAGCAGGGTCATGGCTGTGGACGCTAATGGCCATGAGTGCTGAGGTCCTTGATTTAGCTCTCAGGCCCTGGGAGAGCTCCACAGTTATTACTGCCACAGCACGCAAGAGGGAGGCAAGAGAGCGGAGTCCTTTACGACTTGGCCAAACAATTTCAGGGGATTTACTTTGGGCTACAGTCCAGTCTTCCAAGGAAAGAGTATTTTTTTCTTTTTTCTTTCCACTGAGCCTTTTATTTCTGAAAAGGTAAATGCCCAATTAGATGGATTTCGCCTTTCATGCAGAGTTCTTTTAGGCTTTTTGAGCATGAAACAATATTTTGGAGCCATTCCACCCTCTCAGTTAGAGAAGTAGCTGGGTTTGCTTTGGTTTTTTTTTTTTTTTTTTTTTAAGTATCTGGTAAAATTCAGAGAAAGGACTTTCTTTCAACACTCAAATGTGGACTTTCCAAAAATCATTTGCAACTCTCTTTTTAATTCAGCCAAATAATTTACAGCCAATGCTCTTCTCAACTTTTCTGAATTACTTTAAGTGATTTTTAACTCACATTTTATGTTCCCTAAGGGCTTCAGAGTCATACCTGCTAGACAGATTTCATTTATTGTAGAGAAACAATCAGCCAATGTATTTGGAGAAATATACGTACATATATATATATATATATACATATATATACACACACATACACACATATGGCAACCCCGTATGCATATTAAGGACTCTGAGAAGTCCTGTTGAGCTTTGTTTAACCATTTGTTCCTCAAATTAA